GTTTACTAATCAGGAGGTAACATTATAGTCCCGAAGCGTCAAAACACTAAACCCTCGTCAGGTTTATGGCTTTGTCTCCTATGCCTGAGCGCCTTAAAACCCACTGTTGAAGCCACAAAGCGCATGATGCTTTCCCCATAGAGTCCCGAGATAGTTCTCCGCAGATAAAGCGAACTCTGATCGTTAAGGCCCCAACCCTAAACCCTAAACCCTAAACCCTAAACCGAAAACCCTGAACCCTAAACCCTAAACCCTATATGCCCTACCAGGCCCCACACCCTGCACCCGGAACCCCGTGAACCTGTGCTCTGACTTCTGACCCGGAAGTTCAGTTTAGGGTTTAGGGTTTAAGGTTCTGGGTTTAGGGTTTAAGGTTCTAGAGTTTAGGGTTTAGGGTTTAGAGTTTAGGGTTTAGGGTTTAGGGTTTAGGGTCGGCAGGACTGTCTTGGAGGCTTTAGAGTATCGGGATCTGGTGAAGGTTGTGCTCCGTGGCTGCAAAAAATACACGAATCGAGTTTTGTTATCCGGACCCCTGACCTTTTGTAAAGTCTAACATAGAGGCCTTAATAATTACCTATACTGTTTTGGTGGTTCCTTGATATAGTATTTTACAATATACCCCATAACCCTGCTCTACCTATTAAGGCCCAATGTTACTGTTACGCCCTGAAACCTTGAAGCCCTACTTCATCATGAACTTGAATTTCTACAGGCAAAACCAGGCAGAACCTTCAACTCTACACCACCTGATCATTAGACCTAATCGGTTCCTTCGGATGCTGGTGCTTCGAGCTTTTAAGCCGGATCCCGTAGGAATGCATTAGGGCTGCCTAAGATTATACTATGCTATACCGTGCAGCTTGCTCGGGTGTACTGTGGCAGGGCTCAACATTCGTGGCTGGCAGAAGTCGGAACCAAATGGAAGATCCGAGTTCAAAACTCGGCTAGGGTTTAGGGTTTAGGGTTTAGGGTTTAGGGTTTAGAGTCTAGAGTGATGAAATATGCGAAAATACTGGAGGCCGGATAATCACTATTGCAAACCTGACAGCCAGTACGCTCTACGGGCCCTACTCCCTAAACCCCCAAACGCCTGAGGGACAGTCGGCTGCCGTTTCCCGACTATTTGGAGCAGCTCGGAAGCCTCTCGGTGTATGCTTCGTGGCATTTGTGTGTGGTTTAGGGTTTTATAGGCCCTGGAGGGTTTAGGGTTTAGGGTTTAGGCCCTTAGGGGCTGAGTAGGTAAGCTTTAACCTTGTGGGGCTTATATAATCCTACTATAATTCAAAAGATTAACCTTTTTTGGGCTAGGGTACTCAGCCCCTAAGAGGCTGTTCATCCTCCTGCACATCTTAAACCAATGTGAACGCGGATTCAAGTCTAAGCCTTTGAAGTCGGTAATTACGAATGAGGCTGTTGCAGTCACGAGATTTTCTCGCCAGGACAGAGCTACGACGGTCCCACTCCTTTTTGGCTTTTCATGCTTCTTGTCACTCAGAGTTGAGAGAGCCCCTCCTCTGGGTTAGGCACTTCATTGGTTTCGAACGTGTACCAAACTTCGCTACTATATCCCAGGACCCGACACCTCATAGTATACCCAACACCAAGCTTCGCGTCGA